AAATGATATATTCTGCTTGAATATTTTTGCCTGTTTATTATCGACCGATATCTTGAATCCGTCTTCAACCAATTTAACCATTGAGACAAGATTCGAATTGAAATCTCCAAAAGCAACATCTTTCAAAATCAGTTTGCAGTTGGGCTTTGGTTCGATCATAACATCACCAGTCTTTACGGATTTGACTGTTTTTCCACTGGCAATTTCAAATTCAATTACATTGATTTTCGGTTCGATGAGGCAATTTTCATTAATTGTTATATGTGATGTGCACCCGGAGTCTAAGATCCATACATCAGGTGACTTTACAATCGATTTTTGCAACAAAGATTTAGCCATTCTCTTATCCTTTGTGCTTGATGATTTAGACGATTTTTCTTTCAGATTTGATGTTGATGATGACAGTTTATTTTTCGATAATGATGATGACGATGATGATGATGTATTTAATTTTTGTTTCTCAATCCGTTGTCTGATCCAGCATTCATCACATGTATGACCAGGTTTCAAACAAAATGAACATCTGATACCACTTTTTGATGATTTCTTCGATGCCATTTTAGCCAATTCTTTATGATCATTTGATCCAGAATTCGATGCTATGGATTGGTATTTTGATTTCTCATCGTATTCAATGAATTCGTTGAGAATATCCTTCATCGTGCCATTTTGATTCATCATTATACGATCGGTCAATTGTTCAAATTTCGAGTTTGCTCGTAGCAAAAACATGACGACGATACAACGGCTTTTATCACTGAATTTTATCCAATCAGAATCAATCGATTCGAACTTCGCAACCAGTGTTTCAAACCATGTGCGAAGACTTCCGGAACGATAAGCACAATTTATCAATTCACTCAGCTTACGAACCGCTGTTGCATATGTATCCTTTTCAACGTCAGCCATTTGTTTCCAAATTTGGTAAACGCTGGTACAATGTTCGATAATTTCAAACTTTTCAGGAACAAATGTCAACGATATCGTTCCAAGACAATTCTGATATAATTGGAAATCCGGATGTGTCGAATCGAGTTCACCTTCCAAGAAATGACTGTATCCACAGCTTTTGAATGCCGCTTTTACTGACGTTATCCAGTGTTTCAGATTCTTTCCGTCATACTTCACAATTTGTGAAAACACGTAGTTTTCATGATTCGACTTGCGATGAACAACCGGTNCATCGTCTGTATTCATTCAAATCGAATCAATCCGTCAAATATTGTTGTTGTTGTTTGGAAAGAAAATGATGCTAAAAATAAACCCCCGAATCAATCATTCATCATCATATGGATGCCTGGTTTATCATTTATTTTCATGGTGGTGTCATTGATGATGATGATTGTGACTTATTGGATTTTCACAGGGTTCATTATTGATGCAATCAAGCGAACAAACAAGCGAAAAATATTTGTCAGCATTTCCAATATCAATCGCAAATGTTTCCAATGATTCAATGATCATGGTTCGATGAAAATTTGGTTGATTTTCGTTTGTGACAACACACACAATTCCCGAACGAACGAAAAAATCCAAAAAAATCAAATTCATCAATGCGTGGGCGGTTTGGTGCCTTTCCGTTATGTTTTTTATCGTTGTTGTTTTTTGGTGTTCGGAAAAAAAGATGTTTCTTTTTTTTCCGATTTCAAATCTCTCCCAACCGAATTCGATCGATCCATCCATTCATCAATGGCCTTGTAATGGGTTTTTCGATTCGATTTGATTCTGCGCATTTCCAAAAAACATCACTATATATTGGATTCGACTTTGACAATTCAATCAGAAAAGAAAAGAAAAGAAAAATCACTGTCAATGTCAAAACAATAAACCCGGTAAACAAACGATCAAAACCAGAACGAAAAATCCAAAGAAACTATAGTCAACCTTAATTGATCGATCGATTAAAATTAACCTCCGAAAAAAAACAAACATTTTAATCATTTCGGTCAATAAGAAACCCGATTTAAGTTTATT